GGGGCTGGGGGCCTGGACTCCCGGGTCTGAGGGAGGAGGGGCTGGGGCCCGGACTCCTGGGTCGGAGGAAGGAGAGCGGATGCTGGGACTCCGGGGTCCTGGGCACTCACCACACCACAAGGGTCGCACTGACTGATGCTAAGGCCGCGACGGCCGCGAGCAAGCATTGGTTGCTCAGCGTCAGAGCCTCGGGCCTGGCCAGCAGCTCGCCCAGGCTTGGCCTCCAAGGTTCGATCATCTCCGCCTCCAGCGGCGCCCAACGCAGCACTTCCCGAAAGGAGACCTGGAGCTCGGTCTCCCCACGTGAGGGCGCACCAGTCACTGAGGGGCCACGCACGTCAGCAGGAGCAAGCCCCGCCCCCGCGCAGCCCCGCCCCCACGCGCAGCCCCGCCCCCCACGCGCAGCCCCGCCCGCACCGTTAAGAAAGAAGTAGAGCCGCGCCAGCGGGAGCTGGTCGTGCAGGATCACGCAAGAGAACGTCCCGCGGTGCGCGGGCTGCACCGGCCGGATCCGCGCCAGGTTTCCTCGGGCCTGCGGAAGGTCTTGGAAGTAGGACACGTCCTGCGTCCGGACCTGCGGGACGCTCGGGCTGAAGCGGCGGGACGAGAGGAGCCTCGCCCGAGCCCAGGTCAGATTCCCTCCGCTGGGTCTCGCCAAAGCGCCACGTCCAAGCCCCGCCCCCGAGCTAGACCACGCCTTCTTGAGCCCTGGCCCCACCCCTAGCCCCTTATTCACTGACCCTTCCCGCACGACCCCGCCCCTCTAAGCCCCCTCCTGAGCCTTGCCTCCACTTCTAGATCCAGGGACCCTCCCCGTGCACGAAGCCTGAATCTAGACCGAGCTCCCCCGAGCCCCACCCCCTGCGGCCTCACCACCCATCCCCTAGAGAAGCATAACCCTCCTCCTAAGCCCTTCGCGCTGGCCCCGCTCCGACTCACACCTCCTCCTGCGAACTTCCAGGAATAGGTGATTTCCTCCTTAGGCAGTTGGAAGTTCACAGTGCAAGAGAACTTAGCCTGATGACCCCGAGTCACCGTCAAGTCCTGAACTGAAAACAGGTCCGCGTCACCGCCCGAGCCCGCCCCCGTCTGGCTCGGTCCCTTCCCTGCTCAGCTCTCGTTCCTCAGGTCCGTCCGGTTCCTTTCCCCTTCCAGGCCCCGCCCCTCACCTGGGCAGTCCAGCGGGAGGTCGCAGACCGTGGAGTAGCACCCGCGGCAGTGGAAACGCCGGGCGACTTCCTGGAGTCCTGTGGGACGGAAACGCTGCACCGGGGCTCCAACTGCGTTCCCCAGTCCGGGTCCCTTTGGCCAACAAGGTCTGTGCAGGCACCGGGGCTCTAACGGCCAGACAGGTCCTGGGCGCCGCCTTCCCTGAGCTCACTGGCTGGCTCGCAACACTCTCCGGCCTCTAGGACTCCTATTGGCTTGTTTTTGCTTTCGGGCCCGCCTTGTATGAGGTTTGTGAGCAATACCTGCTTTTACTTTTCTCCAGGGCTCTTATTGGTCTCCCGTTGTAGTCCCAGGTCTCGCTCCCGACCACCTCCCTTCCCCCTAAATTCTGAGCTTGGGATGAAGTGCTTACCGCAGGGAGGGACGCAGGCCCGGACTGTGGAGAGAGAGGAAGCGTTACTATCCTGGAAGTGCCCACCTGAAGCTCCCCTAGAGGATAAGGTTACTGGGCCAGATGCGTTCCTCCGAGGGGGCGGAGCCAGGCCTGCCGCAGCCCGCCTAGGGGGCGGAGCTAAGCCTGCAGCATTCCACTAAGGTCAGGCACAGGCCTGCCGGCTAAGGAGGCGGGATCAACCCTGGGGTATCCCACCGAGGGGGCGGGGCTAGGTCCTGGGCGATAGTTTCTGGGGACAGGGTCAAACGAGGGGGCCCAATTAGAGAAGAGGTGTGGCAGGCTACAATTCGCCCACTGAGGGGGCCCAGTTGGAAAGAAAACATCACAAAGTGCGCAGGGCCAGAAGGAGAGATCCAGCGAGAGGACCGGGCTAATCTGGGACGGAATCATCCCAAGATGGGGTCCCAGCTGGAAAGGAAACCTTCCATTGAAGCAGGGACCAGATTCTAGGGTGTTCCTCATAGGGGAAGAGGCTCAGAGGGACTGGGCTAACGGGAGACGGTGACTGGCTCAGGATTTTAGAACAGCGTGTGTGTGTGCGTGTGTGTGTGTACACGTACGTGTACGCACGCCCGCCCACCCACCCGCTGACTTCTTTTACCTTCTTTAAGCTGCATAATGACCTTCCGCATTTTCTCCGCAGCATCAGGAAAAGCCACCTTAAAGGAGCCTGGAGGGGGGAGGGGGGCCTTGTAGCAAAGACCCTTTCTCAAGGCCGGTCAGCTTGCTATCACAGTGTTTGTGCCTTCCTCACGCCCTCCCCATCCCCACATGTCTAGTACATAAAGCACCCCCCTCTCACCTCCTCCCGCCCTGTCTACCTGGAAGGCTGACAGATCCCCAAGTCTCCTTCCGTCTGCCTCTGGACTATCTTTCTGATGGAACCCCTCCTCTGCATCCTCTGCGTTGATCTTGTTGAGAGGAAAGGGGAGGATAAAGAACAAATTCCTCACCACGTTCTCCTAGGCCCTACAAGGTCTGGCCTAGTTTCCTCTGCTTCTCTATTCCATCCCTGTTGCCCACCTTTCATGTATGAAAACGACCATATTCTCTAGCACCTCAGGGCCTTTGCATGTGCTGGTGTGTTTCTAGCACATCTTTCCTCCTCCTCCTACTCATCCTTCATCTCCTGCCTCATGTCCTCTCCTTCGAGGTGTTCCCTGACCACAAATCTCTAATCCAGTTCCCTATTTTTGCCTCTCGAAGTGTTCCATTCATTCCATTCAGAGTTCTCACCAGTTTACAGTTGTATACATTTATATATACAGTGATCATTTAAGTCTGTCTCTTCAGTTAGTAAACATGTCATTCTTCAGTGCTGTATCCCCAGAACCCAGGGAGGGCCCCAAGTCTTAGCAAGTGCTCAGAAGTATGTGTAGAATGAATTCCAGGATCCAGCTGGAGTGGAGACCACAACTGGTGGCCTCTGGCCCCAGTCCATCCCTTGAATGTGTTATATTTGGACTGGAAAGTATTTTTAAAAAATGAACCAGTTGCTATCGTACAAAATTTGGGAAAGTCAAGAATGTTTGGCATCTCTTTTACAAAATTTGGAAGAGCTCTAACACAAGAGACTATATTTTCATGAGGCAGCAATTAGCTAGAGCTTCGTGGCAGCCACCCCCTGGGCATGCACCTGCCACTTCTGCATGGTGCCCAGACTATTCATTTCTACCCCTTTGACTCTTTTTTATCTCTGTTCTTATGCTGTTGGGAGTTTTGACCATTGTAATGGCCTCCAAACTGTAAGATTTTGTGGTTTTTCCCAAAGTGGATGGCTGGCTGAGTTGATTTACCGGTGGAGGTGGTTTTGGAAATTAGAAATGTAGCAGATGTGGGGCACCTGGGTGGCTCAGTTGGTTAAATGTCTGACTCTTGATTTCTGCTCAGGTCGTGATCTCAAGGTTGTGAGATCAAGCCCCGCGTTGGGCTCCGTGCTCAGTGCAGATTCTGCTTGGGATTCTCTCTCTCTCTCCCTTGCCCCCCCCCAAATAAATAAATAAAATCTAAAATAAAGAAATGTGGCAGGTGTTATGGACTGAACTGTGTCCTTCCCAAAGTCGTAATGTTGGAAGCCCTAACCCCCAGTACCTCGGAATGTGACTGTACTTGGAGATACAGCCTTAAAGAGGTAATTAAGTTACAATTAGGACATCAGGATGGGCCCTGATCCAGTATGACTGATTGCCTTATAAGAGAAGGAAATCTGGACACCAACACACTGAGGGAAGACCATGTGAAGACACAGGGGGAGAGAAGATGGTCATCTACAGGCCAAAGAGTGATGCTTCAGAAGGAACCAGTCCTGCTCACTCTGACACCTTGATCTTGGACTTCTAGCCTCCAGAATTGTGAACAAGTACATTTCTGTTGTTTAAGCAACCCAGTATATGGCACTTTGTTATGGCAGCCCTAGCAAACGGATACACAGGGATTACTAGTTGCTTCCAGATATCTCTGTAGTAACATCACACTGCATTTCAGCTGGGAAAGCACCCCTGGCCCCACCAACCACCCAGCTCAAAAACTGTATTCCTCAATATCCCTTGCAGCTAGGTGTGGTCATATGACCCACCTGTGGTCATATAACCCAAGTTTTGGTCTGATTTGTAAGTGGAAGTGTCATGTGCGAGTCATAGGAAGGAGCCTTAAGAGAGAAATGGCACCATCTTATTGACCCTTCCCTTTCCTCCATCTGCTGCCTGAGACTTGGATTTGATGGCTGGAGCTCTAGCAGTCATGCAGAACCATGAGGATAAGGGCTGCATCCGAGGATAAGGGCTGCATCCTAGGATAGTAAAACAGGAAGCTGGAAGGCGTTTGGGTCCCCCAGAAAATGCAGTGGTACTGCCATAGGAAACTTAAGCACCTACCTCAAGACTTCTAGCTGGCTTAAGCCATTGCATGTGAAATGTGTGATTTCAAACCATACAGAAAGGGAAGGAACTGAGCAAGGCGAGAGAGTGGCTGATGTGATGATCCTTGAGTATAAGCTGGAGAGAGGGGGCACTGAAGCCAGGAAGTGGGTTCAAAATGAGGGGTCAAGGACTTAGAGGTCTCTCCGTGGCCATAGGGCAGGCGTGTGGTCTGGAGATGGGAGGATGGTCAGGAGGATGTGGTCAGAGTGGGGTGCGCAGATGAGAGGCCAAGATGTTGGAGGAGTCATCCAAGGAGTATCTCTGTGCCAAACCAAGTGACTCACAGGGAGGATGAGTGTGGGGTATGCCAAGTGAGCCATGGCAGGGGTGTGTGTGTGTTACCTCTAAGTACGTCGTGGGAATAAAGTAGGGATGGAGTGAAATGTCCAAAGAGGCCAAGGGGTGGAGGTTATCTCAAGTGAACCAGAAGGGGGCATGGGTGGATGTTGTAAAGTCCCCCCCAGAGAGGTGTGTATCATTAGGAACTTCAACTTTCAGACCATCCGGGTTGGAGTCCTGGCTTGTCCATCTGTGAACACACCTGCCTCCCATCTGAGAAATCCATTTCAAATCCTCTTCCCTACATGACCTTGGCCAAATATGTAACTTTCCTGATCCTCAGTTGGTAAAATGGGGACAGTATCAGTGTCTATTGGGGTTGGGGGGGGATTTAATGCCATACAATATAAAAGCATCCCGGTGCCAAACTATGTGCCATTGGATGGCTGCATTAGAGAATGTCCATAAGCGCTTAGGTTGGTGTCTGGGCCCCAGTTTGCCCCATCTGGAGAATGGGGTTACCAAACCCCACCTGATAGGGCTGGTATGAATATATCCTTTAGGACGACAATTAGCATCAGTAAGTGCAGACACGGCCTCTCCCCTGTATGGGGCAGGTTTGGCAGAGTCAGAGCCATCATCTCCCTCCCCCTCCCCCCTCACGCTTGCCCCTCTCAGCTCAGCCCTCATCTTGGGGCTGCGACTGGTCCGAACCACCGCTCACCGCCTCCCCCGGTCTCCCTGCTCCTGCCCTTGGCCCTCGTGGCCGTGGTCTGATCCTGTCTCTCTCTCTCCCTAAAATCCTCTGATGGCTCCCCCCTCGAGAGCGAAAGTGGAAGTCAGTTCAAGGGTCCACAAGGTCGGTTCCCCAAGCGTGTTCCTGGAGCAGCTGCGGCAGTGGGCAACTTGTTAGAAAGGCTCACTTCCTGGCCCTACCTCAGGCCTACAGGGCAGAAATGGAGGGTGGCACCCAGGAGTCTGCCTTTTCACAAGCTCCCAGGAGATTCTGGCACACACTGGGGCTTGAGAACCACTGGCCTATGAGGTCCTACAGGATGTGGTTCTTTGCAGACTCTGACTTCATCTCCCCCTCCCCCCTTGACTCCACTCCAGCCCTTCACACTGGCTCTTCCCTCTGCCTGGAAGGCTCTTTCCCCTGATTATCTGTATGGCTCTGTCACCTGGTTCAGGTCTTTCCTCAATTGGACCTTCTTTTTTTTTTTTTTTAGTTTTTTTTAGATTATTTATTTATTTATTTGACAGAGAGAGGCACAGTGAGAGAGGGAACACAAGCAGGGGGAGTGGGAGAGGGAGAAGCAGGCTTCCCGCGGAGCAGGGAGCCCGATGCGGGGCTCCATCCCAGGACCCTGGGATCATGACCTGAGCCGAAGGCAGTCGCTTAACGACAGCCACCCAGGCGCCCCTCAATTGGACCTTCTTACGTGCAACTCCCCTGACCAACCTATTTAAAATAACCACCCCACCGGGCACCCTGTTCCCTTTCCCTCCTGTTTTCCTCCACATCCTGGATTACCAACTGACACACTGTAGTATTTCATCGATTATGTTGATTGTCGGCCCCTCCCCCACCCACCCCCAATATAAGCAACCTGAGGGCTAGTGGTCTACGGATTTGGTCACAGCTATGTCCCCAGTGTTGTTTCTGGCACATTCGATGAATACCTGTTGGTCGTATTGCACCAGCTTCTCCCGGCCTCCAGTCTGTCCCCTTCACAATCCCAGAGGGTCTTTCCATGCCCAGAACTGAGCCTGCCCTTCCCCTGCTCACAGCCCTGCTCCTTCAGGACAGTCTCGAGTCTCCTTGACCTTTCAGTTAAACCCTGGGCCTGTGGTCTAGCTGCTTCCGGGATGTCCCCCAAGTCCCTCACCGTCGCTATGTCCTAGCCCCAACTCACCATCTGCTCCCCCCCTGCTCTTTCTCCCGGGCTCCCCGTCTCAGGGAAGACCCAGTGCCCACCCTCGCATGGAGCTGGGCCCTGGGTGCTATCCATTCCCAACCCCAGTCCCCAGACGGACCTTCAGACCCAAGCCCCGTCCCTCCTGCCCTTGACTCTCTTCTTCATCCGTGCTGCTTCTCCACCTTCACAGCCCCGCCCCAGCTCAGGCCTCCCTCACCCCAGCCTCCGCCCAGGCCTCCAAGCCTCCACCCAGGCCTCCCAGCCTCCACTGCCTCCCCACTCCATTGCGTCCCACACACAGCTCTAGGGAGGTCTTCTACACACAGAACTGGACTTGTTCCTGTTCTCTTCAAAACCTTCTACGACAAGATGGCCTAAGTGGGGAGAAAGGGTGTTGTCTGGAGTCCTGAGCACCTCCCCTCACCCCAGCTTTGAGTTGCTCAGGCCTCTCTTTAGGGTTGGGGGATCTGTAGCTGAAGTCGTCTTCATGCTGACCCCCCGGACACCCCCTGGGTGGACAGGAACCTCCCCATCTTTCAGGACCGTCGTCAGAAAGCTTGGTGGGCAAGAGCAGAAACCAAAGGGTGTAACAGCAGTTGTAGAAATAAGCTCTGAGCCCTGGACCAACGACTGGCCAGTTTATGCTGCAAGCATTGCTCCGCCCTCCTCATCCCTCTCCCTCCAAGGTCCGGCTGGTCAGGAGGCTCCTCCCTCTCGGGGAGGCAAGGCCATTGTCCCACCTTACAGGTGGGTAAGTTGAGACCCAGAGGGAGGCAGTAACACATCCAAAACCTCATAGCCAGCGGGAGCCACACAGCCAGTTCAGAACTCACGTCTACCTGATCCCGACTAGGATTCAGACTCCAGGTCATTTCTGCACTCTTCTTTGAGCTCCCCACCAGCATCTGACCATCCCTTCCCCCCAATAAGTAATCAAGCTCACTCAGCTTCCTAGCACTGCCTCCTCCAGATCTGGCACAGTCTGGGGGCACCCCTGCACACACATCATCTCTCGGGGGTTTACACCCCATGTCCACCAAACCATCCCCACCCCACTCACCCTGGGCAGTGGCCATCTCCTGGAGAGAGTGGGTCATCTGGGTGAAGGCATCATGCAGGTGGCTTCTCTCATCGTAGTCTGGGAGTAAGGGTGGAGGACAGAGGCTGGGAAAAGCAGTTCTCTCAACACCACGTCCACGGTGTGGACATTCTCTGTCTCCCTAAGACACCTCCTGTCTCCAAATCTCTGTCCCTGCCCCACTGCTATCCCCCAGCTCTGAGTCTGTCCCTCCCCCCAGTGTCTGTCCTGCCTTCTCGGAGTCTGTCCCCCATCTCTGTCCGCCTCCCGGAGTCTGTCCCCCA